AGGATGTACAAGAGAAAGCTGATTTTCTTTTCTTTCCTCATTAAAGGCCTACACATTGCCCAGAAGTGAAGTGGTCGAACTCTAGTTTAGATCTTAGATCTTAGCTGCGCTGTCTGTTTTAGATCTTAGCTGCGCTGTCTGTTAGTGTGTGACCTTGAACAAATCTCTGACTGACTCTAAGCCTCAGTTCTCTCATCTCTCAAATGGGGATCATAGTTTTTACGACTGCGACTTGTTGTGAAGCTTAAACAAGATACTGCACTAAAATGGTTAGTGCGGTGCCTGGGGTAGACTGAGTGCTCCATAAATGTTAGAAACCATTAGGATGATAGCTCTCAAATTTTCTTTTTTCGAGTCACAGACCCCTGTGAGAATCTATCTAGACTTTTGCATGAACCTTTAAGTTCAGTTTCGGGGGCTGACAGCTCTCTTGAGGCCCATCTATGGTCCTGGGGAGGAGCCCCCTGGTCACTTGCTCCTGCCTGGCCTTCAAGCAGACTCTGTCAGCAACCTTGCATCCCTGACAGCACACTGGATGTCGTGTCTAACTGGGGAGAGGCTGTCTCTGCCATGTCCCCTCCTGCGCCACAGGCCTCGCTCTTCCTACATTTGCCCCCCAGAGTGCGGCAACCACAGTCTCTAACAACCTCTCAGGGAGCTGTTCATATACCACTCTTGCTGTCAGCCTTGGTGGAGGAGCTTTAACCATTCTACAAAAGTGTGTCTACTTATTTGGCTATAGCTAAACAGCTTTCCTGCCTCAGTTCATAGTCCTGCGATCCCCCAGATATGAGGACACCTAGCATTCCACACAACACCGATGAAGTTAGGTTATATATGGATTAACAAATGGCAAAGACAAAATAAAAGTCGGGAGATGCCGGACATCTGAAATGGAAGCAGATGGGCAGCTGGATAAGTCCGGACCAGACTCCTGGCTCTGCTACCCGCCTTAGTCCCTCAGCCTCTCTGAGCCTCAACTCCTTCATCTGTAAAATGGGTATAATCTGATCTGCCTTGGAAGAGTCGGCGAAATGCTGCATGCCAATCTTATCGCACACAGCTGGCTACAGAGCAAGAGTGACCGCCAGCTGTAGCTGTCACCGTCACTAAGGTTGTCGCTGCTGTTCTCTGACGGCACAGATATGAAGGCAGGAAGGGGAGACGAGGGGGACTTCAAAAGCAGGAACAAGGCATTCTTAGCTTTTTTATTATGGTAGAAAGTCCCATTAAATGTCTTCATATTTTACTTATTGTTTATTTATTTTTTTAAGGATGCCCTAAGGAACTCAAAGAAAAGACTTTTAAGAAATACAAAGCTGAGATTGCACTGCTGTTGGTTTTGGTGGTTTTCTACTTAACACTCATCATTTTCACTTTTGTAAGTACCTTTTTAAAACATTTATTATTATTAAAAGATCACCTGGGGCACCGGTCCAAATGTTTTTTAGGTAGTGGGAATCATTTAATTATAGGAAGAGATATTCTCTGAGCCCTGGACTTATTGAGGCTCCCAGACTGTAAGAATCATTACATCAAGCTCCCAGCTTGTGTGTGTGAGTGCGTGTGTGTGTGTTTTGTCTTGTGGCTCTGCACAGAGCACTGTGAAGAGAAAATGAAGTAAGATATGGGAAGGAAGTTTAAGAAATGCCAAAGGATCCTACTAAAGCACCATAGGGCCTTGTAGTTACAGTGGTAAAAAGTGCAACACCCACTATCCACCATCCCGGGCATAGGTGACATTCTTCCTGTAAGGCAAGTGAGCAGCTCAGCCACCCTGTGATAGACCAGTCTCCTTCACCTGCCCTTGAACTGTTTGTTCTTAGGGGTTCTCGCCTTATATTTTGTTACTTCCATCCACTTCTTGAGGATTAACCCTGAGATTCCAATACAGCGAGGTACACAGGGAGTGTCCTAGGGTAAAGGGAAGCGGGCCAGTGCTTGGAGGTCCTCGACATGCCCTGGAGATATTGGTAGCAGACTCCAGCTTAAAGACCCTGAGCCTCCCTCTGCAGGCTGCTCACCTGGGTTGACTGAAGTTGTGAGAGAGCAGGGTCAGCTCTGGGCCTGACACGCTAGGAAGTGATCTGTCCCACATGTCTCAACATTATCAGGAGGAGTTGGCGACTTAGCAACCAAGACAGATCTCATCGAGGAGCAATGCCGGGGCTCTTTCTTATTGTTTACTGAGTCTTTTTATTCTCTTAGTTGCCTCTCTGGTATGTACTCATCTCTCTGGCTGCTGTTTTAGGCATCAGTCAATCAAAAGTCTCTAGTGAACACCTACTGTGTACAAAGCACTAAGTTAGGCATTACAGGGAATATAAAAGGGTATGAGACATAATCCCTATCATCTAGGAGCTTATACTTTGGTCCTTTGAGTTATTTGCACATAGGATAATTAGAATTAGTGGACAGTAAATTTAAAAAATGAGTGCCTTTAGTTTCTTGTTGGCAAATGCCTCTTTCTATGGGCACTGATTTTTTCCATACAGATAACTAACAGTAGGGGCTTGAAATGGCCCCAGTTTGTAATCAGAGCATCTCCTGGTCAGACTTTAGGGATACCAGTGAAAGAGTATAAGCCCACTGTAGAGTGAGTAAGGTAGTCAGTATAATGATGGATTTCAGAATAAGATGTCCAGGTACCTCTAAGTGAATGGAGTTCAAATCGAGGTGACAACTGAAGCATTTTTCCAATTATTCACTTCTCAACTTATCTCTTTTATTTTTCAGAAGTTTGCACGACAACAGAGTATTTTTCAAGAGTTTTCTAAACCCGGCACGGAACGAGTTTTTCTCCCAGTCACCTCCCCAAACAAGCATTTGGAGCCAGTGACTCTTCACAAGACAGAACTGGTATGAGCAGGATTTCTGCAGGTTGTTTTTCCGAAAGTCAAAGGCTCAGTGATGGACCTATATGTCACACAGGACTAGAAAAGAATGCGTCCCACATCAAAGATGCCAGCATTCCTGTGAAGTCCTTCATCTGACTGAAATATCTGAAAGTGGATCCCAAACCACTTTTTGCGAGCAGGACTTTGAAAACCATTGCATGGCCACACAGCATGGGGCCACCTGCAGGGTGCTCTGTGATGCTATTTCTTCACTGCTGCCTTCTCAGCATTTTGTTCAGCTATCTGGTCAACCTCCTCAAAATTCTTTCAGTCATATAAAAGCTATGGTGAGATGCAGTTGGACAAAGGTCTTGGGAAATATGAATTTCCAGAACTGGCCCTGTGACAGACTCTTGAGGACAGCTGTCTTCTTCCACATCTGGGAAACATCTCTTTGAATTTGTTGTGTTTTCCTGTACTAGCCCAGATGTTTCATGTCTGGGAGAAATTGACAGGCCAAGCTGTGAGACAGTGGGAAATATTTAGCAAATAATTTCCTGGTGCGAAGGGTGTACTATAACTAAGGAGTATTATGTGTACATAGAAATAGTAGGTCGATGAACTCTTCCCCAACAGGCCTTTTCATCTGGGAAAGACATCTATAAAGAGGCAATAAAGAAGAATGCCACATTTATTTTTATATCTCCATATATGCTTGTCAAAGAATTTGTGCTTTTTCACTTTTTGAAATCTATATCTACAGTTAGATATCATCGCTAACTGACAAGCAACCTGAATAGAGGGAGTTAGAAGATGTCGAGAGGATGACAACAGGATAGAGAGTTTTTTAGTGACCTGATGGAAATGCTGGACCAATCGTGCAATCTGGGTTCTAGTTCCAGTTGTCCCACTACGAAGTTGCATGATCTTGGGCCAGATCCTATGGTTTCCGCTTTCTCAGTTATAAGCCAAAAGGTTGTTGTAGGAATTTATTGAAATAATGTGTGTGAAAAGGTTCTGAAAAAGTATAAAGCACTATACAAGTTTGAAACTCCGTTGAGTCATTACCCTTATTATTACAGTGGTTTCTGGGCAAAAGAGAATGACTTTTACTTTTCATGTTTTCCATCATTCCAAACAACAACAAAAAATCTACAAAAAGAGACTTTCCCAGTCTTCTGTCTGAATTCCTTTGGGGAAATGAGGAAGCCAGTTCAATGGTCTGTTCTTGAAGCACCAGCCCAAAGTACTCCAAGACCTGCACACTAAGGAGTTGCTGGGACGTGGGGACGAAGGAGTTCATAAATGTTACATTAACATTTTGGCATTTGTGTTTCGCTAATCAAGTTTGGCCCTTTCCCTCCTTGTTTTTGAAAGAGATTTTACCCCTTTAGTACTGTGTGCATGGCCCACACTAATATTAGAGAGTACAAGGAATGCCAGATTGATTTAGGGATTTTGCCTCTTTGTCATGGCTTTCCTATTATTAAATGTATGCATGTGAAGGGGGAATGTTTATTCTTTTTTATATTTAAAACTACATATAAGACTTTGGGATGCATGTGAGGGTGTCTGTAGCCCAAACCCAAGGTGAATGCCTCCTCTGAGAGGGAGGACACTTATGACAGGTAGATCTCTATTAAATGGCACCACCTTCTTCCCAAAGGTGCTCCTGAATCCACCCTCGCCTTGCATTGCTACAGGCCGTACGTCATCAGCTTGACCGCATGTATGACCACAGGTGGGAGGGATGAAGAGAAGGAGGGTTTCTATTTCAGAAGGGCTTGTAAAATCATGGGCTCTGTACCTGGGATTCATGGGGTTTCACTGAAAATTCTCAAGTTCATTATCCCCAAAATGGAAGAACAACTTAGTACAAGTGGTCGAAATAGTTATAAAAGCATTACAGGTGAATCTACTTTGGAAAATGGCTCTTTATAAAGATGAATGCCCATAAAATGTCTATAAGAGCTATAGATTTCAGTGGTATCAACTATTTTCTAATGTCTTACCAAAAGTGCTGAGGAGAGCGTTTAGCTTTGAAATTTTACCACTTTGGGCAGGAGACTTACCTCTTCAACCATCAGTTGGTGGATCTTTAGAATAAGAATAATACCTGCCTAGTAGGTTTGTTGGGAGGATTAAATAAGATAGTATATCTAAGAGCTTAACCCACTGTCTGGCAAATGGTAAGCATTCATTTAACATTGGAGCAAGAAAGAAGAAAAAGGCAGCAGAGAAAGTGACAGTGACCATGAGTCTATGACAAAGTGGCTTGGTGAAAAGGAACAAATTGACTTGGTAAGGGAGTCATGTTGCTTTCAGAGGACTAATCCACAATGAATCTAAATGCTTCTGCTTCATGGCCATTAGAATTACAGCACATGAAAAACTCAGGGTGGAGCGGGGAGGGCAGCCCTTCATCAGTTCAAACTGATGTAAGCTGAAAACATGACGGAAATTTGAGAGTAGGTAGATTCAACATTTCACACATAATATTTGGTATAATAAAAGGGGTGTTTGTGGGGGGTAGGTGTGGGAAGGGCAGAATTTATCAAGGAGAGTATTTTTCAATGCCTTGATTGAGGCCTATCAAGGTATTTCGGAGGAAGGCAGATGATCGTGGACCATATTTATTTATTTTTGTCTCCATTGCCGGGGAAACCTTTGTTCTCAGGGCCCTCCTTTGACTATGGAATTAGATCTACAGTTATAATAATTTAACCTTGTGATGTTGCAAGACACAAATAAAGACATGAATATCAACTCCACATCCTTCCAAAAGAAGGCCTGTGGTTTTTGTTTTCATAATAATTCTTAGCAGGTTTCATCATAGAAAATACTGAGCTGCACCCACAGAACCCAACAGAGCTCAATTATTTGCTGGGTTTGCAGAAGAAACCCAGAGCACGTGAGGCTCATGTGTTTGACCTCATGGCACTGTCAGAGTCAGGAGTCTCAGAATAATTCAGTCTTGTTCCACAGCTCTTTCCTCATCAGCAACTTTATTTAGCTGCATGAACTGGCTAATTGTTTAATACTCCATCTTTCCTATGTAAAAATAGCCAAAGGCCTAAAAATCTTAAGATAGAAACTATTTGATTAATTCAACAACAATTGTCCCTCATAATTTTGCAACTGCTTGTTTGCAGAGCCAGATTTGATCTAATTGTTTGGTAAGACAGAATCAGGTTTTCGATGAGTCTATTAGTGCTGTATATTGTCTTCTCAAAACTAGATGTGTTTACTCTCTAACTTTCACTAAATTGACATAAGAAATTAAAATTCTACCACCTGCCTTTTTGTAGGGGTGTGTGTGTGTGTGTGTGTGTGTGTGTGTGTGTGTGTGTGTGTGTGTTGAATGGGTAAAATTAAACATATTTGCTGAGCATGTACTCTGGACAAAATACTGTTATAGACACTATGTAATACTCAAAAAAAGTAAGACACAACCCTTTCTTTCAAGGAGCTTACAATTTAGTGGAGGGAGAAATGATCTTAGAGCTATATGTGCAGCTGCTTGTTTTATTTAGCAAAGAATGGTGGGAAACAGAAAATAACTATGAGAGGGTCCAAATTCATGTGGGAGCAGCTTAGAAGGCTTTAAAGAACTGGCTCCATTTGAACTTGGACTTGAAAGATAAGCAGGATTTTGAATGATAGTAATGGGAAGTGTGGTGAGAATGGCAGGGGAATACTCTTTCAGGCAAAAAAGTAGAGAGCACACACGAACAGAGAATTACATGAGGGTTTTTGTGGGCATAGAGCACCCACAGTCCAGACCAAGTAGAGAGGAGGCAATAATGTAAAACTAGACACGTTATAGAGAATTTGCACAGTGGGGCAGTGTTGAAGGGTTCTGTCTGGGTTGGGGAGCCATATAATTAGATTCATTTCTAGGACAATAACCAGGAAAACAGAGTGAAAGATGAAATGAAAGAGCTGTAGGGGATGGGAAGCCAGAAGACCATCTAGGCAAATGGAAGCCCAGAGGAGCATGGCATCAGTGGAAGAGAAGAGAAGGGATGGAAACGAGCTGGCTCCTACACGTTGTCATTTCGATTTTTGTCCTGGGTTTTCTTATGATCCTAGCTTCTGTACGTTATTTTTTATTTTTTCCTTAGGTCTCGTTGCCTTTTTTTAAATAAAAGAATGAAAAGAAAGAGTATTCCCTTCATCTTGATCTCTACATAACAGGCAGAATGTAATCATCTTAAACTGCAGGTAAAGTCCTCATGTGCCACAGCCATTGAGATAACGAATATGGCTCTGGTGCCGCTACAATCAAAGTACATGGTTAAAACTAGTTTTATCCATCTTTACTCTCCTTACTACCTCAATTTTCCTGTCTCAGAAGAATATTCCCAGTCTCCTCTTCTGCAATTTGAAATATTTGATCAGCAATTGGTTCATTTAAGAAACATAGAGTGCATCATCCTAGCTCTTCGGGTTTACTTTTTCCTGTGTTAATTGTCACATAGCAAACATTTGCTTCTTTCATTGGTTCTGGACCTCTGTACTTTCTGTTCAACTGATTACATGTTACATAATTGCTCCTTAGAGATTTTTAAAAATGAAATCTTCCAGAAGTTGGCTGACTCACAGACCCTGCTAACAAAGCATGATGATACACCAAAAGATACCTTCAAGGGATCCCAATGGGTTGTGCGTGAGTCACATGGGATGGGTATGAATACATTTTAGAGAAAAATAAAATGGTGCCATATAACATTGTTTGTTGCCCCAGAGCTTGAGAAATTACACACGAGCCCCCTTCTCTCTTCTAGAGACAAGTCATTACACTTGCAGTTACGTCTTTTTTCTTTTCCACTTTATTTCATTTTCCCTATGGGATCCAAGGCAAGTGCACAGTTAGGTAACAAAGAACTATCAGGAAAACACCATGTAGGTGGGGTGTATTTGTTTCCATGGTTCCTGAGAAGTTAGGGTGAAGGAAGGAGGTGACACTTGAGCACTGAAAGCAAATCTATTCTTTTCTCCTTTCAATGCATAAATACAAACAGAATCCCTCTGGGCAAGGGAGACAGACCTCACTTAGTGGTTCATTTAGATTCCACATGAGAAGGAGATATTGTTTTATTCTTCATTATAAGAGAGTCCATTTCTTCAAATTGACCATTTTTCCCCCTCACTATTTCTAAAGTAGCCTGTTTACAATCTACTCTTGTAGATTACAGTACTTAGTACAGACAAGTAGAGAGAAATTCACACACTGAAAAGCTTCAAGACATCCCACAGAGCTGGAATGCTTTTTTCAAAGGAAAAAAAAAAATTTGCAAATGTGTATGTACTTGCCTAGGTACCCAAAAGAGCCAGCTGGACAGCCCATAAGCAGTTCCCATTCAAGAACAACAAAAGCCTTGTCAGAAGCCAAGGGACAGGAGGCTGAGAACTAATAATAATTTTGCACTTACACAGCAGTTTTCATCCGAAGACCTCAGAGTGCTTTATAAACATTAATTAAATTGCCCCACGGGTCTGTGAGATGGCTGTGTATCACTATTTCCAGTTTGTAGGGGGTAGAGGGAGGAGAAATGTATGCACGGAGTGGAGCTGGAACCGGGCCATGCTATGGTGCATGTGGATTATGGACTCAGAAAAAGCAGCAGGACCTTTCTCCCTGTGATCCAAGGCTGCGATCATGTGTAACAGTACCTCCTGGGCCAAGGAGGAGATGGTCTGGTGATAGAGTTGTCCGAGACCTCCCCAGCAGTACCTACCTATCTTGTGAATAAAGTGAATAGAAGGCCACCTGCACCAGGCTTAAAGGGTGCTGGCACCATCTCTCCCGCAAACTCATCACCATATGCCAGATTACCATCATCACAGACTCATTCTTTTAGTGAGACTTGCAGTGGCAAATTGGTTTCACCTGAGGTGCTGGCTCTTCATGTGTGGAAGTACAGTCAGGATAGCTGTGTGGAGAAGGATTGTGATGTCTGGTCTGCTGCACAGAAAAATCCCATGATCTATTCTTGATGTCTACCCTGCGTGTGTGGGGAAAGGTAGTTGTGGGTTGAACTGTGTCCTCCAAAAAGACATGTCAAAATCCTAACCCCCAGGATCTGTGATTGTGACATTATTTGCAAATAGGTTCTTCGCACATGCAATCAAGTTAAGACGAGGTCATTCTGAATTAGGGTGGGCACTAAATCCAATGACTGGTACTCTTACAAGAAAAGAGAAATTTAGATACAGACATGCAGAGAATGTGACATGAAGATGAAGGCAGAAATGTGTCTTTAAGCCAAGGATTGACTAGAAGCTAGAAGAGTCAATGAACGAGTCTTTGAAGGGAGTGTAGCCCGGCCGATACCTTGATCCTACATAATCGAGTCTGCCATTGGACTGTGGTTTGAGGAGAAGTTGCTTCCTTCTCCACTTAGCCTAAGGTTAGCCCTGCTCCCAAGATTCTCCCGTCCTCCCTATCCAGAGCACCCCAGAGCTACTGGGAGTGGGCTAGCCACGAGCAATGGAGCTACTTCTT